AAAAAAAAACATTAAACCTTACAGATGAAAACTTGGTAGTATGTCTAATCGTGACTTGTTCTTTTCTACTTTAAACGTCATTGTGTTAGTGCTGCATTTCCAAAAATAATACGTTTTTCAGAAGCAAAAAGATTAACACTTTTTATTTCAGTGTACAGTTTTGGTGTAATGGGGCATAGAGATACTAAAGCATGGTTTTAAAGTGTCCGTAATGTTTTTTTTGTCAGAATGTTGGGAGTATGTTTCTAAATCCTTACATTTGTGTAGCACTGATGTATTAATACCGTATAACAGGCGTAAATCGGGCATCCATGTTTCACAATCGTAATTTCAAGATACCCTTCAAATAAGACATTGGATATTTTATTGGAAAGATCAGCAATGACTGCTACCATAGGATAACCAATTTACTGGAAGGCATTTCACTAACTCTGGCCCCATCTAGTGGTTGAAATAATACCGACAATAAAGTTGAATTCTATTCTATTCTATTTAAAATGCACTTTTGTTTTTTGTAAATCAGCAAGACTCAGAAATAGCTGTACCAGGCAACTAAGGCGCAGAGCCAGACTCACAGCCGAGAGAGACTTCAATTTTTAATTTAAAAAACCTATAAGATTCAAAGCACAAAAATACAGTCAAAATCAGTGAATCAATGATTTGATTTAAAACCTTCAATATTCAGACTTTGTCTGTCAAAGATATGTGTGGGGGAAAAGATAAACTAGATTTTGTTGCTTGTGAAGGGGGATATTAATCTAGGATACAGATGAAATGGAAGCCATCCGTCTATCTGGGAATCATAATTTGCAGTTTTTCATATTTTACTTAATACTAAAATGGATTAAATAGGAAAACCTTTCTCATTTCTAGCAAAATATCAAAACCTATCAGAAGCCGTTGGATCCTGCAGCACCCACCCTTGTAGAGTGTCCCCACCTACTTTAATAACAAAGTTACACCCTTGCATACTAATGACTGCAAAGTAGTAAAACAGACACACAAGTAAGAATTTTGCACCAAGATTGAATTTATGGCGTTCATTGCATAAACTATTTCATATTCAGTAATCTTTCTTAAACTGACCTTTTCAAATTATTTCAAATATCTTATTTGCTGGAATAAGAACCTCCTTTTCATAATCTCAGACTTTTAGAGATGTGTCAATGAATTACATCTAAACTTTTTAGCACACCCTATGTTGGCTTGTCAACCAACTACTTCAGAAGATTTGGTAGAGAAGAAAAATCAAAATATAGAAGGTATCAGGTAGATTTGTTATTTTCTTATTGTTGTTGTTATCACTGGCTTTTGTTTTACATGGTAAAACTTTGTTGCAAAATAAAGAACACCCTCAAGAGTGAGCTCTCTGAGAGTGATACAATGAAATAAGCAAATGTACCATTTTAAAAAAATCTAAAACCAAATTCAAATAAAAATATGTAAATTCTAAAATAAGCAGCTAGATTATATAATGTCCAATGGAATAGATAAACATTCAACATAAATAATAAAATGTCATTTTAGAAAAGGAATATCTTTATAAATCAAAATAATTACTTCACTATACATCTATACCTAAATATAATGAAGTAATCAAGCATTTTTCTAGGGGGTCTGCAGGCTTGAAGGTTTGGGGAACTCCTGACCTAGATCATCAGTCACACGTAGGCTGGGACATCATTACTCTACTTTCTATCTCTCTCTCTTTTACACAGACACACAAAAGTTTGCTCAAATCTGTGGGTTTAACATTTCCTCTTAAAAGAATTGCAGTTTGCTCTACCTAAGGTCATCAGTTAATGCATCTGAGTCTTGCATCTCTATACCCACTCAACCACTATTTTACGGGGGAAAAAGTTTATGTTAGCAACTTAAGAGGGTTGCAGTAGTAAAACTTACATTCTAGTAGTCAAAGCCAGAAATTCTAAGGACAATGTGTGGCATGTGGTAAACAAATTAGGCTTCATCTGTGTTTTTGACCTAAATAAAACATGGAGCTACTTAAAATAGTTTTTTGTTAATAAAAGAAAGTTACCTAAATTTTCTAGCAATAAAAAAGGGCAAACATGAACACAATGTTTGGTCTAATATGGTACATAGATGATTCTTAGGTACAGTCTCTTTTATTTCCATCTTCAGCCTTAAGTGGAACTCGTGGAATGCTTTTCAGCTATGTTCACTCATTCATAGGACATTGCATATATTAATATTAAAAATTCTGTAGACAGTTGTTAAATGCGCTAAAGAAACACACGTCACATCATATTGACATTTTTATTTACTTACTACAAAAATAAGAAAGAAAAAGATATTCTCTTACATTGGAAATATCCACTTAAGCAAAGAACATGAAACATAACAATAAAAAAAAAGTTACTTAAAGCCAACTATTGGAAAATGACTTGTGGTAAATTATTCTAAGTAACTGTATTAGAACAAGTTGTCAGAAAATGGAGAGGCTTCTAGCTGGACCCAAAATGCAGAGGCAGAGATGGTTTCTTGTAGATTTATTGACAGAGGCAGCAGTAATATAAATCCATAAATCCAAAAGTCATCAGAAAAGGAGCAAGGGAACCAGAACATAGTACACGGGAGGTGACAGGAACTGATGGGGACATGAAATACAGACAAACATGAAATACAGACAAACTGCAGAGGATGGGTATATATACACTGAGGAGTAGACTAACATGATAAAGATTGGAGTAAATATTTGGGTGGAAACAGGTGTGTGGAGAAAGAACCACAAGAGATCCAATGGGAAGGAAGGTGACACTAGGGGGCAATGGAGAGTAACTGGGAATCATAATCAGAACTGGAAACAATAAATGGCTAAATAAATCCAGAGCAAAAAAAGACAAAGGAATACTTAACAGTAGATAACACCAGATAGGAATAGTAAAACTAAGAAGTAATTTAAACATATATATATATAATTTGTAAAAACACAATAACATATATCCAAGCCTAACTGAAAACTAAACAGAACCAAAAATCCCTGAACGGCAGATCATAATACAAGTTGCAAGTAATCATTATCTTGTCTTTAGGAGACGGCACTCAGTAAAACTTTGGGCTGTAATCTACTGCTTAATATAAGTGAGTTAAGAGAGATAAATGTAAGCTTTTTTTTTAATGAACAATTTATAAATTTAGGATGAAATGAAAAGGTAGGGTTAGAGAAATAATGGCTGGAAGAAAATAATCACAATGCTAGCTGTTTGCAATTTGGCAATCAAGATTGCTTTGGACTCCAGCGCTTTTCAAGACATAAACAACCTCACAATCCTGGAGTTCTCTTTTTTTATTGTTGCTGATTATTTTAAACTTCTCATAAGGTGGAATGAGCACTTCCTGCTCATGTTGAAATACTGAGTAAGTTTTTAAATAAGCACCATAACATGTTTTAATCTTAAAGCATGTCTCACGACCAAAAGAGGTCAAATTTGATTCAAAGGAGGTTGAGGTAAAAGCACCAAACCGAATTGTTGGTTTGACATTTCCAGTAAATTTTTCTGTGGTTCTGCGAAAAGTTGTTTTACATTTTTTTTGTTTATTAAGAATCTGTATAGCCCTGGTCAGCCAGAAATAAAGGGAATGGAATCGAAAGGATGAACCATATGCTTCCCGTTTGGTCCTGACTTCTTCATTGAATATTTTATAGAGGTTTGGATTTTCATTTGTATAAGTACACATTGCTTGCATGAGGTCTTTTGTAAGAGCCTTATCTCCTTCCTCTCTCTTTTTTAAGTTTTGGTTTGCACACTCTTCAGCTGCCTCCCATGCAGGTTTAAATAATTTATCCTCCATTTCTTTTTTAAAGAACATGTCTTTAACCTTTTTTTCCATTATTTTAGCACAGTTAGAATACATGTCATCAACAGAATTTCTGGCCATGTCCAGCGGAAATAAATAATCTTTTTGTGTATTGACAGAGACAATGATCTAGAACAAAGAAGGAAAGAAAAAATTAATGATGATTGAAGCAGGAGAGATATCAAGTTGTGTACTGGTTGTAAATAACAGTGATCCAGGCTTCAGTATAGGAAGTTAATATCAAACTAATACTACATCCAAAAGTAAACTGACCTCAATTAAAATAATTTTGCAGATAGACACATTTAAATGAAATTATAAAACTAAATTACATGACTGAGGTAAGTAAAGATAGATTTCACTAACAGTTAAACACATTTTCAATATATAATAAACTTAGGTTTTAATGCCATTCAACACAAATTACCTTCTGTGAATCAGCAAAATGCATGCAGCAAAGCAGCAAACAGAGATCACCGAAAATCACCATTTTGGCCTTCATGTTTGAAATCCTGCAAACAAACATAAATGTAACAGTGAAGTGACCATATGTAAGTACTAGCTTCAGTAATGATATAAAAAAAATCTTACGGTTATCCAAATAAGACTTTGCTTTGGGGAAGTAAATTGTAGACCTGCCAGTCTAACTTTCACACACCCACAGTGATGATTTACCACGATTTGCAAGTACTTTTACACTCCGATCTTTAAAAAAGACCCACCCACCTTCAAAAGCCCCCCACCGCAGACACACACACAGATACACACACTCGACTTAAACAAGAAGGATGACACATATAGTGCAGTGATGTGTCACGGCTCTAGACAATATTGTTTTACTGTTTAGCATGTCCTTTGTCACAGTTTGCAATGAACAGTCTAACTACAGTATAATAAGATCAGATGTATGAATCACTGTTTATAATTACAAGCCATCCATGCAAATGTTTTTTGTGTTCTCTTTAGGATGTATATTAAAAAAACTGATAACTTACTGTCTGAAATTTGGAGAGTTGTTTTCTTTCCTAATGGAAGGTGAACCCCTTTTGAGAGATACAGCAACACACTTAGAATTATGTAGCCTCAATAACAGAATACATTTGCTGGTAAAACTCCTTTTACCTTATAGTATTTTGTACAATTATCAGTCTGGTTCTAGAAGTGATCATACCGACAAAAAATACAAAAATGTATATGATCACTTTTCTTAAAAATGCATGTTTATGGGGCGTGCTTTGGTGTTGCAGTGGTTAGAGCACACCACCCATGTATGGAGGGCGACCTGGGTTCAAATCCGGCCTGTGGGCCCACATGTCCCCCTTTCCTGCCAGCTTACTGTTCAGAAAACGGATCACTGGTGCTGTAAAAACTCAGAAAACAACTAAAACACAATTAAATAAACTACTCTTCATGTGAGAGTTTTGGACGAGCAGATTCAAACCACGAGGGCCCCAATATATCACATACATGAGTGCATGCTCCTTCTCTGTGCTTGTGGCTTCCTTTTAATGTACCTGTAACCTCTCTCCTATATACTATTTGATTATTTTAGTTGTATATGAGCAGTCTACAAATAAAGCTCTAGTTAGCACAACCTAAAATACCTTGTTTTCTTTACTTTTTTTGTAAAAATGCAACAAGTTTGCATGCTTTTTACATGTGCACTATGAGTCTGACGCAGGTCAGCATGCAACCCTGCCCCAATGCCCTCACGATTTTTTAACTAGAGATGTGCATAAGATGCTCGATGCTTTTAATAACCTCGTGTAAACTAAACGAGGGACCATACAAGATTAAAGAAACATTTGGGCCTATTAAAACATTGGTTGTTTGCATTTAAAATGGAGCAGAAAGTTAGACTTTTTTAGAATTTTAGAAACATAAGATCATAAGGTCAACAACACAGCATTCTGCAACATTATTTAACTTATTAGCCTTCAAAATCACACTTACTTACACTGTTATCTTTGGTTCCGTTTTCCCTGGAATCTGGGTTGTACCAAAACGCATCAAGAAAGAGTGACGTCTATGAACATGACCTGAGTGTGCAATTCTCTCTATTTTACTTTATATTGCTCACAGGTGGGATGAAAGGAAAGATCATCAAACAGGTCATTTTTATTTAGATGTATATTTTTTAATAAAAAAACACTGCTGTTGTATATCAAGTGAAAACCTTTGAAAAAAAAACAGCAATTAGTCTGAAGATGCTTTGCTGACATTACTAGCCATAACGAGAGACTCTGCATCTTCTGAAAATTATCCAATCCCAAGGAGTTTACTTTCACTGAGTGGTTCCATGCATAAAGTCACAAATATTGCGAGAGTTGGAACAATGTTTTCTAATGGACAGCAGATAAAGTTTATATGGATTAAGATGCAGCTGTACCTTTGAGTTGTCTCGCAGTTTTTAGCTTCAACCCCCATAATGATGGCATCAGCTTATTTAAGTTTCCTAAGGATCCTGAGCTGCTTTCAAAGGAAGTGAAGAAGGTCAGATAAGACGAGAGCACCCCGCAGCATCTCTTCTTTGTTTGAAACATTTTGAGAAAGACTGAAACAGTTGCTTGATTGTTCAGTATAACACTATGTTCTGCCTCCAGTAGCCATAGCTACAGCATTCCCCTGGGGGAGAAAGAGAAAATGTGCCAGTTTATGAGCCGGACATAGATAAATCAATTGTTATTAAGCACCTGCCGATGTCACTCTCAGTGCTTCAAGTTCCACATTCATGGAGTGACCATATTGAGGTAAGAGAAAGTTTTAAAATATTCAAAAAAGAAATAAAAGCTGATGGGGAGCTTAAATTGTGGCGAGTTGCTCTTCCAGATGATGATCCAAAGCTAATTGTTTTTAGTAATACCGAAGTAACAGCCTTGATAATAATAACATGGCTCTGTGTTCTGTATTAGTTGTTAAAGAATCATAGTAGAAACCTTATATCAAATCACAGTGCATCAAGCTGAGCTGATGAGAGTCTTTCTAGAATTTAGGTAGAAAGGTTGAGCCAACGTTTTTGGTGAAATGGAGCAATCCTCAATTTCAAGGCATTTTTCTGAAAAACAAAACAAAAAAAAAAGTTAATGTTTTTTTATTACCTCATTGCATGAAATGTTTTGTACATGAACATAACATGAAGGAAGTAAACATACAGAGAAACTTAAACTGTTGGTATATAATCAAACTGTTTAATTAGCACAGCCAAATGCAATTCTATAGAAATAGCTTTAAAACCTTGATTTAAACCATTGATAGTTTTTTAAATTTGTTCAAAATTATTAAATATAAAGAACTGAATGCTACTCCGTGTTTTTATGAATGCTACTCAATGCTACTCCATGCTACTTCATGTTTGCCCTATCTACTCCCTATATTTCATGCAATGACAGCTAAAGACAGGAACTAACTTTCCAATAAAACTGAAACTAGAAAGTGGTAGGGTATTAAAAACAGACAACTGAGAGGGAAATATCCAAAAGTTTAACTCATACACTGGTTCAACTCCTCAGACAGCCTGCCGCACAGGTGACAGCTACAACTCCTGGAAGGATGATAATCCACAGATAAATGGACAAGGAGAGCATTTACATGATGTAAAAAACCTTATTTTTCCTACAAATGGATGTCAACAAAAATCCAATATGATACATATCTCTATTCATTGGAGTCCCCAACCTTTGGATCCGGATGAGTACTGTATGTCTTCTTTCTTCACAGTAGTGTCTTCATTAGGAGAGGTGAGTGGATATATACAAGGGCCCAAATTTTCCTCTTGATTCAGCTGTTAAAGGTAGAGCTCTTCTCTTTCAAACTTAAATTATCTCCTCTTTGATAGATAACTCTCACAATTCTAGGCAATGTTGGAGGTAATCCTGTTTTTCCTACTGAAAGTAGAGCAACATCTTTCTACAGATATATATAGATGAAACCCCATCTTTGACTCTAGGTTAACCATTAGGTGGGGTGTGTGTGTGTGTGTGTTTGTTTAAGGATGATGAATCAGGCGATTGTTGATAAAATTTCTAGCAGTTAACAGTGAAAATGTGGGTATAAAAAAACACACTATCTCCTGGTGCATGAGGTGTTTAGGAAAGCAGGAAGATGTTTTACTCAAAGGAACAGTTTCTGGGAGCAGGTCAAAGAATGGTCTTAACACATTTAAAAGCTTGATTGGTGACAGTAAACTCATTTGCTAAATGCTTTACAAAGGCACTGTTGGGATCCTCAGGCTTGCCCACCAGAGGGCGCCGAGGATTCTCTTCTGCTCTTTGTATTTTTTCCCTTAGGACTGAAGTTACTGTTGGGACCTGGAGACTACCCTCTGTCTCCAGCAGAGTGCGCCGTGGGTCTCCTAGGGCTGGAGTCTTCCTNCCTTCTCTGTGCTTGTGGCTTCCTTTTAATGTACCTGTAACCTCTCTCCTATATACTATTTGATTATTTTAGTTGTATATGAGCAGTCTACAAATAAAGCTCTAGTTAGCACAACCTAAAATACCTTGTTTTCTTTACTTTTTTGTAAATGCAACTAGTTTGCATACACTGTAAGTAATTGTCCTGTAAAATAACAGTAAAGAGCTGGCAGCAGAGATGCCAGCAATATACCGTTATTTTTACAGTATTCATCTGTAAATTGATATTACAGTAGTAGACCGTAAACCAGAAAAATTGTATATTTCTGTATTTTTATGAGTTACGGTAAAAAGCTGGCAGCTAGGACACCAGCGATATACTGTAATTTTAGGGTTTTCATACCGTAAATTGACTTTACAGTAGTAGTCTGTTTTCTCACTGTTCAATGATTTCACTGTAAAAAATAAATGCATCATATTTCTATTATTTGGAATATACAATAATATTCTGTTTAAGTTTACTGTAGAGAGGCACAATAGATACACATTACAATAATTCAGTTTAGCAGTTTCCTAAAATATCATTCTTGAATACATGCAATCAATTGAAGAACTTCATTATTCAACAGACAGTTGCACAGTTGTGAAAAAAAGCAATACGTTCAAAAAGAATCAAAATAATTTATTTCAAAAGGCAATATAATACTGAATATTGCTACTTTCAAAAAATTGAGAAAAATAACCAGGAAACAGAAAATAAACCGTGTTGGGTGATGCTGAGAAGATATTTCAAGTAGCAAACAGAGACAGATGACTAGCTAACTTTGAGCTAATGTTAATATTATTTAACATTGTCTTTAACACACATAAGTTTGAACACTTGTTCAATAACACAATAGGTCTAAGAAAAAGACCAACACAACAAATACAGAGGAAATAAGAGTTTAAACATTATTAAGACTACTCAAAAGCAGGAACATTAAGACCTTTTTGATTATAAGTAAAAACATTCAGCAAACCAGCATGTGTTTTCCTCTTAAAATAGTCCTGTGAGGTAGATTAAAATGTTCCTCTAAACTCCACTTAAAACATGTATATTATGTAATATGCAATGTATTTTCTGATGTCTGTGAAAATGCAGAATGCTGTATGCAGAATTGACAACATTTGGAAAACAAATGTAAGAACATTTTGAAAAAGTGCATCAAGGCCATTTCAAAACTATTACAGTACATTTAGAGCATGTGGATTTATACATCATTACAGTCATATGGATAAAAGAGAACATTTAGGGAAGAAACTGC